TACCTTTAAATTAGTTTCACCATCTCAATTTGTCACGAACCGTCCTAACAGGACAAACAGGATTCACGTTCATGCGATTCTCGTTCACAGTTCTCCTGTTCTTCACACTATGTTCGAGTTCATGTGTATGGTCAGACACTCTGCCCAACAGGAACGGAGTCAAAAGATCTGTCATTAACAGTTGTAACAGGACAAACAGGATTCACGTTCACTCTATTCCTGTTCTTAACAGGCTGTCATGTTTGAGTTCGCGTGTATCATCAGACACTCTGTACAGCACTGTTGCGAGGATTAAATGTCCCGTTTCATCACAGGTGACTGAAGTATCCGACATGATCGCGATACTTTATGAAAATATATAAAATAAAATCCAATTATACTCGCGTTCTGACGTGAGAAAATTCCTTGTTAAGAATTCTAACAGGACAAATAGGATTGGTGAAAATGGTGAGCTGAAAATGAATTTATCGAGTGGATCTCTCGAAACAGAGATGAACTAATCACCGCTGTCTGCTCCATTCGTACATCTTCGACACCGAGACTTCTCTTTCGCGCTTCGACGAAACTGCACTAAATTACGGAACAATTTAATCACGCTGGAGAACAGTGTCTTTCCGAGGCACGACGTGCCGCGGACCAATTTTTCACCGTGCCAGGAGAGTGTCCGCCCGGCAAATTGATAGCTTCCGCGTTCTCTAGGCACACGATTTCCCGTGCGCGATCATTAAGATACACGAAGGTTGCAAGCGTGACGGGTGGAAAAAACGAAACATCCTCTGCTCCTTTTCCCTCTGCTGCTGCTGTAGCGTTCCGTGGTCGGGCCAGCTGACCCAGCTGGTACTTGCATCTCTCTGGCAGCACGCCTAACGACGAGACCGCTTAATGACCGGAGCTGCAACCCCACACGACTGAGGAGCAAACCGGCAAGAAGATCCACGCTCCACAAGGAGTGCCTCGATCCTTGGAACGGGTCGAATTTAATCCGTCGTTAGCTGGAGACCCAACGAATCGCAAATCGAATCTTCTCGTTTGCCGTTGACCTTAAGCCTCGGGCCAGACCCGGAGATTCCTCTGGACAGTTTGTCGAGTTCTCTATTCTGCTATCCGTTATCGAATCGCGACTCCGGGCAAGTGTCCCCCAGGTCGATCGAATTTCGCTGAATCGTCGTTCCATCTATTTTCTCCATTGATTATTCTCGATAGTTCGTCCGCTCTGCGGATCACTGGATTTTGACATTGTTTTGTTGGGATCGTCGACTGTGTAGAGTTCCGTGGAGAAATTTCAACGAGATTATCGAGAATTTAAGATGGTAGAAAGACGAATAGGATGTCAAAGATATCAGCTTTCCTTTGCCTGCAAGCATTAAGTTGGGCTTGAGGATGTAACGAGATTGACAAGGTTCTCTCTTGACGACGCTTCGAAGGTCCACTGTGATGACTGTATTACAGCAAAATCAGGGGTACTCGTGTGTGATCCTAGTGTGTCCTGTTCTCACTCTGGAAATTGGTATTTGCTCTCTGCCTGTGAAATTTTAAGATTCGTTGGAAGTTTGAAATTCAAATTGCTGTCAAACTTTTGTAGATCCTCATAGTGGTGTCTTCCATAAGTATTAGAGACGTGAATCTATTTCTGAGACAATCGTGTAATTGTAAATGGCTATGCTTATGGCTGTGAGTACTTGTAAAGTGACAAGACGTGTTTGAAAATTCAAATTTCTGCCAAATTTTTGTTGATCCTCGTAAAGGTGTCTGCCATAAATATTGGAGACACGAATCTATTTCAGAGACAATCGTGTAACTATAAATGGCTATGCTGATGGCTGTGAGTACTTGCAAAGTGACGAGACGAGTTTGGAAATTGAATTTTTGATTTTTGAAGTATGGAATTTTTTTGCAACTTTTGTCAATCTCTTCTACAGGGTCTGTGTACCGATATTTGAAACGATTTTCTCGAGACTTCAAAGCAGGTAACCACGTTACGTGATATCGTGTTATCCTGGCCTCGCTTTGTTCCAACGGAAACTATCTTTCACCGTGGAAAATTGAAACGGGAAGTAGAACGTGGAAATTCCTGTAAACTATAATTAAACCTTCCGATTGATTTTTCTACCGCGTTTGCATTCGTTTCATATCGTGCGAGTACAACAGCAGTTCATTGTAAAGCAATCGCACTCGTTTCTGATCGAATCTCAAATCAAAATTTGAAATGAGGGATTAATATTTTACGAGGCCAAGTTGTCTAGACGGTACCTCTATTCAAATTAGGATCTTCCATTGTGAGGGGGATGAAAGTATCTATAAATTCGCTTTGAGTCTACGCGAATTATCATCCGAGTCGACTTTCGAGCTCATCCTATTGAATTAAACATCGATTACTACGATTCCGTTCCACGAATCTTTTTCATCCCCGTTTTCCACCATCCACCGGAATTATTCATTCATACATGTAGATCGTATGCTTCTCGTTCTCGATGGCTCTGTTTCAACGAAACATAATTAGTACGAGGCCTAACGATGCAGAAGGCTCTTGAACTTCAGCATCTGCGATGTACATCGCAGAACAGTGTTACGAGAAATGCGGTCAGGGATAAACTAGACCGATGCGCAAGACGGTATTCCAGCCCTTTAGCTCCCTAAAGAATTCCACAGCGTCACGATAAGTAGAATAAAAATGAGATTTTAGAGGGAACGGAATAGACGGGGATATAGGAGAAAATTTCAAATATCAAGGAGAGGAAAAACGCGAAGATATATTCTCCTAACTTGCAAGCGAAAACTCAAATAGGATATTTGACGCTATCCAAAATGGATAAAATAATTTGAAATGGATATGTATGAAAAGCTTCCTGATTTAGTTGCCACTCCATTAATTGCCATAATATGCCAATCATTGAATTGGAACTGAATTAAACCGTGAATTAGATGATAAAATTTTAATTGGAAATGTCTTAAAAATTATTGAGTAGTGGCAGCTATAATCGTATACCTTTGCCATCTGGGAAACTAAGTCTACTATCAAGCAAAGTTTGAACTAAATCAGGGATTTCAAGACCTTGCTGTCTTCTTGTTAGATATTTCCACTTCTAGAGATATCGGGGTGCCACGTCAATGGGGGCCTGGTTTACGTCTTTGCGACCCCTATGACCTAACCTAACTTAACCTAACCTAGACCTAACCATCTCGAATGCTTGGGCTAGTCCCTGAAAAAGACAGTTCGTTTGCGACTGTAGACTATGGAACAGAGCTTTTCCAGAACGAGACACTGTGTTTTCTGTACCAGGCCCCCCTCGCGTAAATAAAGCCCTCTCATTGACACGAAATAGAGCCTTGATTTCTTAAATACCCACGACTTATCTTCAGATAGTACATACGAAAGAATTTAATAGGTAGAGTGTATGGAAAGTCTAGAAACCGAGATAAAAATTCGTGTCTTTTATACGATTAAACGAAGTCCTAGTAGAATTGACAGCCATCGATAAACAGGAAGAAGCCCAAGAATTTCGTTTCATTCGGTCTATCTTTGGCCGTGAACGTCTAGGCGTAGGCGGAAAGAGCCCTGGCTGGCTCGAAGACAATGAAAGGATGCGGGAATGAAGGGTACGAATGGCTGGAAAGTATAAAAGCGGAGAGACAGTGTCTAAAGAACACGGGACACGCTCCAGGTCACCGGAAGTACGAGGATTCCGGGGTCGGAGGAGCGAAAAAGGAAAGTGGGCGGATGAGAATTTTCGCTGAGGAACGAAAGGGGAAAAAGTGGAGAAAGAAATGCACGAGACTCTCTGCCTCTGTGTATACGTGTCGCGTGCCTGTGTGCGTATACTTGCGTGTGCGTGTGCGAAGGTATAAAAGTTTCGAAAACGACCGAGTGGATACGCGTGATCTAAATGCGAGAAGAGGAAAGAAGGCAAATAGGGGTGTAAAGAAATCGCTCAGAAAAATGTGCGTCGGCGTTAACCGGAAGTGAGGCCGTCGGGATGTATGCCTCGAATACTAGAGCTTCGATCTGCTCAGATTCTTGGCACAGACGAGATCAAATTTGTCAAAATACCGGGTGTGTCACAATTTCGAAGACGTATTTACGTTGACGATTCAGTTCCTTCGAGAAATTTCGAGAAATTATCACTCGAATGTGGCATAATTACAAATTGCGTTCGATCGAATTGATGTATCACAGAGATACTCTGACATGTCTGGGTATCTTCATTTTCTTGAGTATAATATTCGCGAATTCGGAGAATTGAAATAAAAAATTTGAAAATCGAATTATGGTACACGGTAGATTCGTTCCAAATGTTATCTCCAAAACTGACGTTAGCTCATAAATCGCGAGATTCGTTCGTGACAAACGATGTAACAAAAATCTTGCATTGGCCAGGTTCCATGGCATCGGATGACAACTAACGGGCTTAAAATCGTTGCCACGGGGTCAAAAACACTCGCGTTCTTTTTGAAACGTATACTCGAACGAGCCACTAAAAATAAGAGAGAATTCCTATCTACCATTCGTCGAATACACCGTGAGTATTTCGCGGAACGAGCCATTGGAACCGCCTCGAGTCTCAGATGACAGCTACCGGGTGCCATTGTCGTTCAAATTCCAACCAGTCGAGATAAAGGACCGATGAGAACTCTGATTCCGCGAATCATAGAATACACACGTTTGTAGAAACCACGTAGTCCATCGAATTTTAGCATTTTTCTGAGCGTTTGAGGTTAGAGTACTAGCGATGAGCACGTGAGGATCGAACAGGGCAGGCAGTCGTTGGAGCAAGCTGAACGTGAGAGGGAGGATAAAAACGGACGAAAGAAAGAAAGAAAGAGAGAGAAGGGCAAGTAAGGAGGAACGAACGGAGGAGATAAGGGAAAAGATATAGAGAGAAAGAAAAGAGAGAGAGAAAGAGGAGAAAGGCTCCGGCGGGGGCCGCTCGTCCATGAACCGAGGACACTGATCACATCCTCCTTGGACTGATCGGCTCTTTTTCTCGTTTCCTGATCCGTAGGTACGTCTTCACGATAGTCAGCTACCTAATCGGCGTCTTCATATTCGCCACGATCGTTGGCCAGGTCGGGAACGTGATCACGAATCGAAACGCGAATAGGCTGGAGTTCGAGAGGTTGCTGGACGGTGCCAAGACCTACATGAGACACCATAAGGTGCCGGGTGAAATGAAGAGGCGGGTGCTCAGGTGGTACGACTACAGCTGGTCCAGAGGAAGGATACAGGGTGGTGGTGACATCAACACCGCTCTCGGTCTGCTTCCGGACAAGCTGAAGACCGAGCTGGCGCTGCACGTGAATCTCTCCGTGCTGAAGAAGGTTACCATCTTCCAGGTGAGTTCTTCTTGGGTCTTCTTTTACGTTTATTACCTTCTACTCTTCTCACTCGAGATACATTTTTGTCGATCGATGGATTCTGTGAGATGGCTTGGCGATGGCTTTCTTTTAGATAGATCCCTAGCCACGATAGCGAGAGGAACAGGTGATTTCTTAAAATCTTTGAGAAATATACGAAGATGTAAGTAAAGGGGATGAAATGAATTCATTTGATGAGTTTGATTATTTACTATATCGGCAATCTTGGGTTAATATTAATAATCGTTTTTATCGACACTTTTGAATATTGCCATGACGTGTGTTTTGTTTTTAAATCATTTTATTTCTAAATAAAGTTTCATCCATGTATATCGTATTCTAATATCGTTGTCATTTTTTCACGAATTCTGCAAATATTTATTGCAAATTTCCAATGGCTCAGTTTGATTAGGCCAAGATTTATTCGTGGATTTATGACTTATAAGTAATCCTCCAGTCGTACGACTGGCGATGGTATGACTTTCAATTTCGCGAGAAGTATTTTTAATCAAAACGTTGAACTATAGTGGGAAAGGAACGCGATGATTGCGTGAATTATTGGTAAATTCCCCATTTCTCTTGGAAATAGTAGAAATAATCCTATATAAAGAGGCCCTGCATGCCAGCATGACTATTGATTTGAATTCGATATTCCACATTCGCTTCTGTTATTTAAGCTATTAAAAAAATATTTATCGTGAATGTAAAATTCGATAGATATTTCAAACTCTCAAGCTAGGACTATCTCCTGCTCTCTATTCACCATAAGGTTACCGAAAGCTACTACAAATGCGAACAGCTTTTCTATCTTTCTAAATAATTGGACCAGAATTACTCTGTATAATTAAATTCGACACAGTCTCATTAATTAACCATACTCAACTAAATTAATTGTTTATTTCCCAAAATACCTGACAACTTGACAGAATTGGAGACATCAAAGTGATCCTCCTGTTTGTCACAGGCTCCTTGCAACTTTTCAAATAATTCAGGAAGATCTATAGATTTATTTATCTATAATGTTCAATTAAGTATGCTGAACGCAAACAATAATAATTGCTATACATAATCGTGTTTCCATCTGGTAGAAAGCGAATATTAACCTTGTCTACAGTATCATCGTATCTTCAGCAACTGCAAAATGAAATTATCCGAACCTAATTATATTGGTTTCATTGATAATACCAAACTTGATATAGTCTTATTAAAACCTGATAAAACAAGAAATTTTCCAAAAATTCGGGAGAATATGTTTAATACGATTAAATCTGATACACGGTCTCGTTGAAACCTGACACAAATACACAGCCACGCAGTTTCTACAATTTTCGAATAATTAAATTTGATACGAGGTCTTCTTAACCCTCTGCGCTCGACGATTTTTTGACTAAAGAAGGGTACGAATTGAAAAATTTTCTCTAAAACTGACGATACTTTTTTCAATAGTAAATAAGAAATAATAATTAACACGTCGAATTATTTCATTTTGGTACCTCGCACACTGTTACATTATTTTAAATTTGAAATATTAATTAATATCGAGCTTCGAAATTTTATCAAATGGCGACTCAAGGGTGCCTCTCGAGTGCAAAGGGTTAATTAACCACGCTATGCGAAATTAGATAAAAATTTCTTGAAATACCCGATAACTCGGCAAAAGGAGAGATATCGAAATGATAATTTTCCTCTCTCCGCGAAATCTACTGGAAAATCATTTTATGTGGTTTAAAGGCCCGATAAATAGGGCTTTCATGCCTCTTTGCGAAGGATACATCAGCGCTACATAGTTCGTTCGATCGTGGAAAGACGAAATAAGAGGATATTTCAGCTCGGCAGAACCGTATCTCATATCTTTTTGTTCCTCTTTCATTTTCTTTCTTTTCACTGCCACTGTATTGCCGCCACCGTATTGACAATGCGTCGAGGTGGTCGATACAAAAGGCAGGTGACATATAGCTCAATTTATATCGTATATTATATGCACGTATGCGAAAGGCGTGTCTATGCAGCCACGGAAGAAAATTTCTTCGTCGAGACGACGTGGAAATATTACCTCGTATTAGAAAACAGGCATCTGTGCAGCCGCGAAAGAAGATTCCGCGTTTAAATGGCGTAAACATATTGCTTCTGCGTATATTAGGAGATCACACGATGATAACAGTGTGCCTTCATGCGGGGAAAAAATGGCGGAAATATTGCACGAGAACGGAAGAAAGATTACAGCCATGAAATAAATTAATCGGTGATCCACGCGAGGAAATTTTAATACTAAACTTGCCATAATCTAAATCACCCCTTACCAAAATTTCATTAAAAATTCTACATCCAACGTTATCGTCTTAATCTTCGCGATTTTTCTTCCGATATACGTATAGTCATTTTCTTAATGTCTCCCGTTACTCCATTTTTGAAAAATCCTACTTCTTTTTCATTCACCGACCATTTGACTGTAATAGGTTTAGTATAAGCAGCAGATTCTAACGATTAAATACAAAATTCGGATATCTATGTGAATATCGTATCTTCTAAATAATATAATAATGTTAATTTTCGATGTTAAATTTCGAAATAAATTTTTCGATAAGAACCGATTTACTGTTTTAGGGTTGTAATGGTATTTAGAACGGAGTTTCGATTATCAGAAGATGGCAGAAGGTTGGATTACCTCAAATTTAATCCCGATAAAAATTCCCTAATTTCGCACTCGCGTGCATTACGATACGACTGTTAAAAATACGAGCAACAAATTTCGAATAAATAACACGTAATTACATATTAATTCTGACATTTAATCCTCCGTTATTTCACTTTCCACGCTGCAGTAGTAAAGTCGACGAATGACGATAAATATCGAATCATTTTGTACTTCTACTTTTGTACCTCCACGAACAAAAAGATAGAAAAATCGTGAAAAATGCGCGCGAGTGATTTAACAAAAATTCCATAACATGGCGCCAATCAAAATGAAGGAAAATGAAAAAATTCCTTCGTCATTTCTTTCTGTCACGCTTTTCAAAAATTTCCAAAAGTTAAACCTGACATAATACCCTTTACGCTTCTCTGAAGTTGAAATAAATTTTAATAACTATTATTCCGTACCTAATTTCCTAATTTCTTATCCATAATCAGCACGCGATATCTGTAATTAGGTGACCAATTGCACCCTAACGCATTTATCCATCTGGAATGCCATTTCGATTCAGATAAAATCGACGCTGAAATACGCGCAATCCTGAGACCTTATCGATCATCTTTAATGGCAATTCCAGTTCAATTCGGTATGTTCAAGCATGACTTCTCGCACGACTCCGGGGCAACTGGTCTTGTAATGGGTCTAGCCTCCAAAGTGCTTACAGTCGATGTTGAGATGATGGACCATGCATTATCCGAGTGATTGTTTGGGTGAACTTAGAGTACATATGGGCTCACGTGATACTCATTAATAACGTCACGAAAAATTGCTATCTTGCAAAAGCTCGGTCTTTAAAAGCAATTACCTAATATCGTATCTTCCAAAATAATCGTTTACCTAATATTTCTTATTTAACTGTATAAAATGTCTTCCGAATTTGTTACAAATATATTTTAAGGGATTTAGAAATTTTCAAAGTGTCGTTTAAAATTAATTTTTCAATTGATTTAAATTAATTCACGCTGATTGCACATTGATTAACCGCGCAGAGAATTTTAATTTTTGATTATTGTATTTAATAGGATATTTAATTTTAAGATCGAAGTATTTATTGTATATTTTTTTTGTTTTTATTTAAATGGATTTGGAATTATGCTTCAAAGATATGGATAAAGTAAATCGAAGTGTGTTCGGAATTTCCTGGATCATTTTGCGCGTAGTATATACCCCCGTGCAATGCATTTTCCTAAATAGCTAATGTTTCGTGATGAACAAACAAGGCTTACTTCCTGTGTATTATTAGCAAACAATGGATCAATTGACCTATTGTTAACTTGTATGGTAAACAAGCATAATAAGATTGAACCTCTGGCAATCAGCCTACGTTCGCAGTAAATAAGACTTCTAGACATAAACCCGATACAGCTCGAAGCCCCAATTAGCTAGATTAAAGGGGACAAAATTCATCGTCTTCCATGAAACTTCCAACCATCGTTATCGTTACGTTAATCAAAGCTGCATAATTTTCGTAACATTTCCGCCAGACTCCGCTGCCATAAAATTCCTGCTTCCCGAAGCCGATACCTGAACCCTCGCTACCTGTCTCACCCCGAGCACCCTGGTATCCTAATCACTTTATACCCCGACGCTTGCACGTCCATTTCCTTCGCGATATACCTCTCTAAAGTTCAAGACGCGAAATTTCGTTCGCCATAAAAACCCGTAGAAATTTTAATCCCGCAATTTTACGACCCTCGTCCTATCCACGCGAGCTGGGTAAATATACAGGGATGCAGGGTGGCTTTGCTCCCTTCGAAAATACGGGCATATACTTCGCCTAAATGATTTCCATGAGAACACGTGGGGACTAGACGCGACAACGCGTCGAATAAAGAATAAATGGTGGGCGAGGGGGGCGAAGGGGAGATATAGATTGAGAATTTAGGAAAGAAGGGGAGAAGAAGAGAGAAAGAAAGGGGGAAAATGCAAAAGATAGAACCATAGCCAAAGAGGATAGTATTAAAATTAAGAAATGGGATTAACATTGAGTCTTTGTTATTTTGTTATGCTTTGTGTTTGTTAGTTTTGTTGTTTTTAAGAATTCGTATTTCTTTTATTTTTGCTCTATTTGGACTTTAGGTTTCTTTTTATGAGCCCTATAACTATTGGACACTCAAATCACCCAGGCACAACTTGAGCACTAGTAGAGCTTAAGGTCATTTGGAGGTTATGTTCAATTCGTCTCAACCTCAGCAACAAACCTATGACATCAAAAATATGTAGTATCGTTGAAGAAAGTCAAAATTATTTTAAATCTTTTCACGTAAAAGGAATTTCTTGGGAACTA